CCCCCAGGGAGGCTATTCGTTCCTCAGGCGCTTAGGGGGCAGGTTATACATTGGGCACACACAGGAAGGTTTTCCATTCATCCAGGTGTGGGACGCACTATAGCTCTGATACGACGGACCTTCTGGTGGCCCTCCATGTATATAGACATTAAGAACTATATTTCAGCTTGTCATGTGTGCGCTCAGCAAAAGGGAGACCACCGAGCCCCAGCTGGGCTCCTCTGTCCCCTTCCTAATCTGTCACGTCCCTGGTCGCATATAGCGCTTGATTTTGTTGTAGGTCTTCCAGAATCTCAGGGCTTCACATGTATCATGTCTGTGGTCGACAGGTTTTCTAAAGCATGTCATTTGGTGCCTCTTAAAGGTCTTCCCTCCTCCACTGTTACTGCCAAACTCCTTGTGAAGCATGTTTTTAGGCTGCATGGTATTCCCACGGAGATTCTGTCTGACCGGGGTCCCCAATTCGTGGCTCGGGTCTGGAAGGAGTTCGCAGAAGCTCTGGGCGCCAAGGTCGCCCTCACCTCCGGCCACCATCCTCAGACTAATGGGCAGTGTGAGCGGTTAAACCAAGAGCTGGGCGCCATGCTGCGTTGTGTCTGCTCCTCCCAGCCCAACACCTGGAGCACACATTTAGCATGGATCGAGCATGCTCACAACTGCCATGTATCCACCTCCACCAGTCAGTCACCATTCGAGGCGTCTCTGGGTTACCAACCCTCACTGTTTCCACAGCAGTCCTCGGCTTCAGTCTCCATCCCTTAGTTTCTCAGGGGGGCCAGGGGGGCATGGGCCTCTACCCGGGCTGCTTTGAGCGCACTGCCGCCAGGAACAAGCAGCTGGCGGACCGACACCGGCGCCCCGCTGTACTCTCCTGGTCAGGATGTTCGGCTGTCTTCCCGGGACATCCCGCTAAAGGCCTCCTCTAGGAAGCTCACTCCTAGGTTCATCGGCCCCTTCAGGGTCCTGGACACGCCTACTCCCACCACGGTTCGGCTGGACCTCCCCAGGAATATGAAGGTACACCCTGTATTTCACATTTCCTTGGTTAAACCCGTTGGTTCCAGTCCTCTTTGCCCTGCTCCTGCGCCTCCGCCGCCGGCCCGGCTCTACAAGGGGGGACTGGTCTACTCAGTCCGGCGGATCCTCGACTCCCGACCCCATGGTCGTGGGGTCCAGTACCTGGTCGACTGGGAGGGGTACGGCCCAGAGGAACGCTCCTGGGTCCCGCGCTCCTTCATCGTGGACCATTCCCTCATTCGGGACTACGAGGAGTCGGTTGCTAGGACGCCAGGTGGCGTCCGTTGAGGGGGGGGCATTGTTGTGTGACGGGGTGAGTACTCCCTCTTCTCCACAACATCTTTGTAAGACTGTCATTCCAGGAGAGGGCACTTACCAGCTGCGGGGCATTACCGATCACCGGCAGCTGCAGATCCTCTAATCAACCGCAGCAGAGCTCTATTTAAGAGGAGAGGGAACCACTTCACATCGCTGGATGATTAACTACTCACGGTAGAATCTTGCCACTCAGTTCTAGGTTTTGCTTTGTCTATTCTCAGACATTCGTGTGGTCGCAGTTTTGGATTTTTCTGGTTTTTTGTGCTTGGATTTTGGTGTTTGGACTCAAGTTTGTTTCATCTTCAGGATACTTGGAATCGCTGAACCACTGATGGATGTACCTACCTGGAAGTCACCATAACCCGCCTGGATTACACACTCAAGGTTCACCTCTCCTCCTTCTTCACTTGCCCTCTACCGCCATCATCTGGCTCCCTCTCCTGGACGCACCCCGTCACACCGTCTGCCCTCCCTGCTGGCTTTTGGACTCTTGCCGACTACTTCACACTTGGATATCTCCAGGACACTTTTAGTTAGGGTTAATAAATCATTGTTTGAACGTTTTGCCTTTGTCCTGTGATGGTTCTTCATGTCGTGGGTTAAACACCTTCCCAGGAACATGACATCCCCTGTTGCACCTAATATTTGAATAGGAAAAACACTGAATTTGTCAGCTCCTCTTTAAGCTTACAACTTTCTGCTTTAAGTTTTTCAAACTCCAGCTGCAGGTTGGCATGATTTTTATGAAGCCCAGCATATCTTTGTTGTAGGCCATCATATTCCCTCCTTAGAACAGGGAGGTCCTCTTAAGCTTTAACACAGAAATATGAAAAGTTAGCAAATGCAGCAACAAGTCCACACAAATATTTTTATTGTAACAGAAAATACAAAATCCTTACCGGCATGGTGAGCCAATGATGGCATGCAAGACGTTTCATCCCTTCTCCTTTTCCGTTGATACCTTAATGTAACCGGTCTAAATTACTTAACAGTTACACAAGTCAAGAGCCAAGATATAATAACACTGAACATCATGAATAGCAAGAATTTCTAAATATTAAATATATCTGTGATGGGAAGGTGTAAACATTACCTGTCCATCTTTGCATGGGGGTTTTGACTTTGCTTTGTGTACGTAAACACAGAAGGCACAAAATCAGGACTCGAGGAGTCCAATGACACCTCGCCTGTAAATAAATAGACTGCTTAAAAGCACACCAGCAAACGCAACTTACTTTATTTAATAGAACACACGTTAACCAGCTTTCTGGTGTAATCTTAGTACATAATTACCTTACCTGATATAAAATGGGTGCTACAAAGTCGAGCATTTCGGATCGTGGTTTCAGTCGTTTTCATCAACCCTTTTGATGGCCTGCAGCCACAGATGCCTCCAATTTTGATGAAATGATGTGCTCCCTGCGGAATTTTGTAAAGTTTCAGTCCACTGCTTGAAGAGAAGCGATTCTAGCATCCATACACGCAACAACCCGACATTTTTATGTGCTCAGAACTTCAAAACAAAGGGTTTAAAACGCTGTTTTAGTATCGAGTGTGAATGAGGAAGCCTTCACTCTCGTTGCCAGGCTGCGCGCGCAACTTTTGATGACGTAGGTAGTAAAAGGGTCTATAGGTTTGACCAAGCACCCACCCCTTCCCCCACACAGCTGCATTCAAATAACTCAACACCTGGACGCCCCCCTACAGCTACAGCCCTTCACACCTCTGACTCCTCCATTCAGACCATCATTCACCCCCCAGGACTCGGCCTCCTCCCCAGTACAGAGCTCCACTGCCCACCCCTCTCCTTTACAGCAGGCCAGGTGAGGAGAGAGCTGATGAAGATCAAAGCTAAAAAAGCTGCTGGTCCTGACAACATTAGTTCCAGGCTCCTTAAATCCTGCGCAGATGAACTGAGCGGAGCTATGGAGCATGTCTTCAACCTGAGCCTGAAGCTGAGAGTGGTACCACAGCTCTGGAAGGTTCTTATTTTATCTAATGTTTGCAGGTGTAGCCCTGATGGAACTACACAAGCCGCATGGTTCTAATTTTATACAATTTATGAAGGGAGGATTTGTCCAGACTGAATTTTAATTATTGTAGTGTTATGTATTTCTTACAGGGAAGTATTTGTCCTGATTGAATTTTAATTGTTAAGTGTTATGTATTTCTTTCAACTTGCACCCGGGAGTGGCTTCCAAATTTCGTTGTACGAGTGTGTACAGTGACAATAAAGGATATTCTATTCTATTCTATTATATTCTATTCTATTCTAGGCTGAGCCCAGCCACCCCGTGGAGAAAACTCATTTCGGTCGCTTGTATCTGCAAACTTGCACTTTCGGTCATTACCCAAAGGTCATGACCATAGATGAGGACTGGGGGGTAGATCGACTGGTAAATTGACAGCCTTGCTTTCCGGCTCAGGTCCTTCTTCACCACAACAGACCGGTTCAGCGTCCGCATCACTGCAGATGCTACCCCAATTGGCCTGTCAAACTCCCGCTTCCTCCTTCCATCACTCGTGAACAAGACCCCAAGATACTTGAACTCCTTTACTTGAGGCATGACCTCTTCTGCCTCGGATTTGGCAAGCCGCCCTTTTCCGGTCGAGAACCATGGTCTCAGATTTAGAAGTGCTGATCGTCAACCCAGCCGCTTCATACTCGGCTGCGAACCTCCCCAGCAGAGTTGTAGGTCAGAGCCTGATGAAGCTAGGAGAACCACATCATCCGCTAGGGATGTCCCGATCAGGTTTTTTTGCCCTCGAGTCAATCATTTGATTTTGAGAATCTGCCGATACCGAGTCCCGATCCGATACTTTAGATACATAAAACAGTTCCAGAATGCTCATTTTTTATTTATTTACCTTTTTATTTTAATTTTTAACAACAGATCACTTCTGTGAGGTAGCTTGAACAATAAATAACATAAATTCTTCACTTTTGGACTTAATTGCAAATATAAAAAGTCTAATATAAAAACAGATAGCAGGGATACCTGGCAGGGGTCTATTTTGCCTCGGCCCGCAAAATGCTTCGATAAGTCCCTGGGCATGGGGCGGAGTTTTGAAGATGATCTGAATTGTATCAACTATATAAATACTACATGTTGCTAAATTATTGCTTTATACAGGTAGAAACGTGTAGTGGGATCAATCTACCTACATTTTATTTTTTTAAGAACTTTGTTTTGTTTTCTTGGTTTTTATTTTCCTGTCTTCCTCTCCTGTCTGTCTCTGATCTTCCTGCATCTCCCAGTCCTCCAGAAAAACCTGCCTGCTTCCTTCTTTTTCACCTCACAAGAAACTTTTTAACTAGCAGATCAAATTGATCTATTGACCGCAAAAAAAGCAGAGTGTGCGCTGCGCTGCCCGGCTGAGCCAGTGACGAGCGCTGCAGCGCGAGCGCGTCCACACGTCATGCTCAAATACAGACAGAACTTGCCAGAGAGAAAATGAACGGACACTAATGACTGTGTGACGCCACTTAGAAACTTAGAAAATGTTACTGTGGCCGTGTGCAGAACGCAGCTGGAGTTCATGAATAATAAGCGGTCTGCCTGCCGCTCTCTGCATCTCTGCCCAGAAGAATGCCCGCTAGGCTGAGTCCATATAAATAATATAATAAAGGTGGAAACTGGATCTCTTTGTGCTCCTTCTGGGTGTGTAAGTTAAGGGCATCAGGGGAGCCTGACAACCTTTAAGGAGAACCAAGTTGCTCTCCTATAATTTGAACCCAGTATCCAACTCCGAATCGGGGCTTGGATCGGGAAGTAAAGCCCGAGTCCCGATCAGTCTGAAACCACATGATCAGGGCTGGTTTCTGATCATGTGATCGGATCGGGAACTCCCTATCATCCACATAAAGCCGAGATGAGGTTCTCCTGCCACCAAACTCTTTTATTTTGAAGGTGCCGCTAACAGGATGTGATGTGTGGAGTGTTAAGAGGGAAGAGAGGGGACAAAGTAGCTGGAGTGTGTAAAACGGAACTAATGGTGGCATTAAACACTGACCCTGATAGTTCACGGCTATCGTTCGCCCTTGAGTGAAAACAGCTTTACATCCTCCCTAGTCTCTCTTCCCATCTAACAGTTTATAAATAAACTGAACTGAACTAAGAACATCAGGAGGGATGAAATCATTTGTTCCCCCAGAGAACTGATTGTTGAATTCCAGTAACAGATGGATCAGTTTTCTCTTTGTTCCTAAAAACCTGCAGCTGTGTGATTCCAGCTAAATCTGCTCTGTTGATCGTTTCCCTCAGATCTTCAACAGTTTCTCTTTCCACTGTTATAAGTCTCATTCTGTCACCTTTTGACCTGAACCTGTGATCCACACCTTCATCTCTTCCTTGTTGTTGCTGGTCCAACTCCAGTCCAGTAGGTGGCGCAAACGCGCCTTCACGCTGCCACATAACCGGAAGCTGTTATCAGAGCTAGCTTGCTGTGCTGGTGTGTGAGGGGAATCTCTGAGGCTCTGCAGCAACAATGTCTTCAGCTCAGTCTCTGAGAGAGGTGATCAGAGAGCGGCTAACTGCTGCTGCTGCAGAAATCTTCTCCGAGTTTGAAAAAACCATCGTCCGCTACGAGGAAGAGATCGATCGTCAGCGCAGACTGCTGGAGATCAGCTGGAAACCACAGATCAACTTACACAGAATAGGTATGAAACAGCAGCGGGACTCATGTGGTTTTACTGAGGACACAATCTCAGGACAGTCTGCTTGGATCCGTTTTCTGTTCTGAAGCTTTTTGACACAACTGAGCTGAAATCAGTCTGCGGTAAACTTTGTTCCACTTTAGAGAAACAAATCAATAACATTTCAGAGATTTTATGAAGTTTTCATTTTCAGGAACTCCACTAAATCAGTTTAAAAGAGACACACTTTAAAGACTTGGTGAACGTTTCCAGCTGATGTTCTACAATCAGAGACTTGTTAAACGAGTCAGTCTGATAGATACTGAGTCCACACACACACACACACACACACACACACACACACACACACACACACACACACACACACACACACACACACACACACACACACACACAGGTTAAGAGATCATTCTTTACTAAAACATCTTCAGATGCATCAGATGGTTCAAGTGAAGTGTACTTTCTTATTGTCACATGACTCAGCTTTTTGTTTGATCCGTTTGTCTGTCCAGAACTCCCACTGCATTATGTCAGGACAGATGAGGAGGTTCTGACTGACCAGCAGCTCTGGAACCAGGAGAGGACCTCCAGTTTGGAGCAGGAACAAGCAGAACCTTTACAGGAGGGACCAGAACCTCCACAGATGAAAGTGGAGCAGGATGAGCCAGAACCTTTGCAGATTGTAAAACAAGAGGAGCTCTGCATCAGTCAGGATGAAGAGCAGTGTGTACTGAAGCAGGAGACGGTGACCTCCCTTGTGACTCCTGCTGGTGAGGAAAGAGACCACGATGAAGCAGAACCAGACAGACACCAACTCCTTTTGTCACTGTTTCCTGAGGCTGAGATCAGAGCTGCTGCTGCTCCGGGGTCAACAGGTGAGGGGGGCTATGTTTGTTTTCCTTACTGTGATGTCGTAATAAGGGACTTCTTGAAACTGCTCATTTTAGGCAAATCAGCTTTATTTTAGGGCTGCCTTTTATTTGACGACTTTAGTCAAATAAAAGGCAAATCTGCAGTGAGGCTCCTAACTGGAGCAAACGGAAGAGCTCACATCACTCCTATTCTAACGTCTCTGCACTGGTTACCCATTAACATTAGAGTTAATTTTAGAATCCTGACTATATTTTAAGTTTGGATCTAACGCTGGTGCCGCGGTAAAAAAACAAAAAAACTGCATTCCACTATAATTGGTTATGGCTTGTGTCAGGTTTATGCACCTAAGACACCACATAACAACACAACACAGGAAAGAGACACAAAAGTCAGAATTCTGTTTAAGCTTTATTCCATTCTCGAGGAGAATGGAATAAAGTCACACCAACCCAGTTTCCACTGAGCTGACACTTCCTCAAACCATTCTGACCTCTGAAATCCGACCACCTCTATTTATTACAAATTGGGAGCTCCCTAGTTACATGCCTGAGAGCTGATCTAAAGGGAGGGGGGAAACACAGCTCTCAGTCCTAAATTGTTGCAAGTTTAATACAAAGAGCATTCATAATTACACAAAGAACTTTCAGTGTCTTGTCACACGATGAGTCAGCAATTGACAGAACAGCGGATCTCCTCAGGTCATCCTTGGGTCACATTAAGTCAGATTGTAACACCCTTAAAAACTCATGAGGGAACTTTACAATACAGCAAGTGTTTAAGTATTTAAATGGTAAAATCATTGAGCATAAAACATGGTAAATGAAACCATCTTTAATTGTAATAAAAGTAGGGCTGCAACTAACGATTATTTTCATAATCGATTAATCTGTCGATTATTTTTTCGATTAATCGGTTTGTTATTGTTTAACTATTTAACCTATACAAGTGATGAATACATTTCAGTTAAGAAAAAGAAAAACATGAGAGAATTGTGCAGTTGACTGCAATCTATTTTATTGCACATGAACACAGTCAGTGGTGTAAAATGAGCTAAACCGTGCAAAATATCAGTCCAGAATAATTTTTTGGCATCAAAATATAAGAGGTAAATTCCATAAAAAATAATGTAGAATCTAGAATAGAGTTTGTAAGTGGTATGCATTGCTGGGGGTGAGTGTCTTGTTCCCCATGTAGTTGTCCATCGTTGCTTGTTTTTTTCTGCATAAGAAACACAAATAAACTGAATTAAGTACACATATAAAATAAAGCAGCACACACACTACAACACTAAATCAATATTACATTATTTGAATTAATTAACAATATACAGTGATCATTTATTTTGACAAAAATGTGTTGTGAGGCGTTTTACAGCGTTAGATAGTAAAACAGCCTTTTAATAGTTAAAAAAGGACTTTCTGAATTTCTCCTATATTTAAAAATTGAAAGCGTACAACTATGCCGCGTTATATTCACCTGGACACAGCTCGTCTGTATATTTTTCTCCGCGGAGTTGTCCTTTTTTGAATGAGGAACACAGTTATGGGTTTGTGCCGTTTTTCTCTTAACGAGAACATTCTTATAAACAGACGTGCTAAATTTGGCAAGCGCATGATACACAACACGGAGGAGATTCACGATTGCATCTAGTCAATCAGAAGTAGAACACCGTAAACTGACGCGGCAAAAAAAAAAAAAAAAAAAAAAACATGTTTAACATCCACTATAACGAACTCAGCTAACACTAAGTCCCAAATTTGATCTGCGTTAGCTTGTTTATTTTCTGTTACTTACCGGACATTCCTCTGCTGCATCAGCCCCCACATGTTTTCGTCTCAAATGTTCACGTAGGGACGCCGTGCTTCCGTCGTGCCATGGTTTTTGCATATTTTGCAGGTCACCGGTCTTTTCAAGGCATCTAGTGAAGTGCTCCCATAATCGTGAGGTTTTTGTCCGGGTTTCTCTTGTTTTGTCGCTTCTATTTTTCTTCTGTATTTCTTGTTGATCCGCCATCTCTCACAGCAAGATGAGCGTCAGTAACGTGATACGTCATGAAAACCGAGGGCACTTATTGGCTCATTTCTTCTTCTACGGCTCAACTGGTAGATCAGTGGCTCATTACTGCCACACACTGGCGGCAAATTTAACAGATTGTAACCGATGTCAGATTGTGGTAAAAAAAATAGACTTTATGCGGTAAAATATGATTATTAAACAACTAATCGATGACTAAAAAAGTTGTTAACTATTTTAATAATCGATTATAATCGATTAAATCGATTAGTTGTTTCAGCTCTAAATAAAAGCATAAAACATTATAATTGAAAACATGAATAATAGTTCTGACAGCTTGCTTCTTCAATGAATCATAATCATATTTCGATACATTGATTGTAATGTTTTGTAAGTGGTGACAATTAGTAAGTAAACCAACCAAATTATAAGTAAAATACATAATTTCTTGCCCAAAATTCCCATGATGCAATGCAGGAAACATTAGCATACTGAAATATAAATGACTCATGACTGGAACACAATAGAGTTGTCACGGTGTGAAAATGTAAGCTCGCGGTTATTGTGACCAAAGTTATGGTTTTTATTATTATCGTGGCATTTTTTTTAACGTGTTAACTAACTAAACCCTCTATATCAGGAAAATAATGTCATCAGTTTGTGTCTTAAATTTGTTATTTTGTAATCATGTTGTTTGTTTACATTTTTCCCCTTTGTCTTTAAAATACCAGAATTTTCCCATAACTTCATATTTTTTGTCCGTTTGATGTCATCATTTTAAAAACATGAGATCAGATTATACTTATTACTCAATTAGCATTCTAATCTCCCTTTCCCATATCCGGGTCGGTAGCGGGATGGTGCCTGTGCTCGGATTAGCCGCGGTCACCGACCACGTTTTCAAACTTTTCTCTACTTACCTTCTCCTTGTCGCCTTGCTTCTGTCCGCGATCCTCTTTGGTAGTGTCCCGGCTACCGTCTAGCAGACCCTTTTCCTTCCGTTTGTCCTCAATCGCCCAAGATGCACCGAATAATTACCTCCATGTTTGTTTACGTGAGCAGCGCGCTGGCCCGGAGCCAAACGCTGATTCCTACCTGAACGCCTTCAGTGATGTTTATCTGATCCCGGGAAAACATCGGAGGAAAAGGGGTAAACGAGCAGGAGTCCAGGTGAGATTAAGACTTCTCTCAAAGTGTGGTTCATCTCAGTGCTGAGTGGCTCGAATAGAATTCTCGCGGGGTGGAGTTATTTGCATGCGAGAGGCATGGGCGGCTCCAGGAAATTTTATCAGCAGTTGCTGTACAGTTGTTCGTCGGTGTTTGGGGTTGCTGCCCCCTGTCGGTGCGTCCTAAAAAGCGCGGGGGTGGTGGGGGGCAAAACTCTGGAGAAACCAGTAACTCTGTCCCCTAGCCAATCAGCATCCAGAATCACGATATTGGCCCAACTCTGCCTTGCCAGGTACCTCAATGGAGCATGGACTAAAAATAGGGGAGAAAGTACAGGAAAAATACCGAACCATGCCTGTGGAAACTAGTCGGGCCGATCTGCCCCAGTCTGAGTTACTCTGACTCTCTGGGAGCTGGTGGGATTTCAGGTCACGTTGTACAGGATAGCATGAATTAAGGTTTGTGAGGATGCAGCAGGAGTTGAGAGTTTTTTTTTTCCTCTATACTCCTTCATTGCCTGATCATAAGACACTTTGTGAGCAGTCTTCAAATTATTGACTACATTTGCAATTTTGCTCTGTGGTGCAGCTACGGCAGCGTAGCAAAGTTTACACACCATTGTTACTTGATCCACGTCTGACTCCTCGAACCCGTGATGTTTCCACGTCACCAAATTCGTTTGAACTATTTTCCATGAACATCTTACATTTTGTATCCATTATCCTCTCCTCTCAAAACAACTTCTGCCAAGCATTCCTCAAGTCTTCTCACTTGTTTTAGATGTGTTTGCAGCTCGCACTAAAATGGAAAGTGGTTGGAGCTGTGAGAGCTGCGCTTGATTTACCACTCAGAGCAGCGCAAGAGTAAGCATGAGGGAGGAGCTAACAATCGGCTCCAGTCAGTTTTAATGATCATTTAAAACCCAGATTGTAATTGAGATCAAAATTTGAATTATTGAGATGCATTTTAGATGCATCAGATGATTACAACCTAGTGGTGTATATACAGTGGGGCAAAAAAGTATTTAGTCAGCTACCGATTGTGCAAGTTCTCCCACTTAAAATGATGACAGAGGTCAGTAATTTTCATCATAGGTACACTTCAACTGTGAGAGACAGAATGTGAAAAAAAAATCCATGAATTCACATGGCAGGATTTTTAAAGAATTTATTTGTAAATCAGGGTGGAAAATAAGTATTTGGTCACTTCAAACAAGGACAATCTCTGGCTCTCACAGACCTGTAACATCTTCTGTAAGAAGCTTTTCTGTCCTCCACTCAATACCTGTATTAATGGCACCTGTTTGAACTCATTATCTGTATAAAAGACACCTGTCCACAGCCTCAAACAGTCAGACTCCAAACTCCACTATGGCCAAGACCAAAGAGCTTTCGAAGGACACCAGGAAAAGAAATGTAGACCTGCACCAGACTGGGAAGAGTGAATCTACAATAGGCAAGCAGCTTGGTGTGAAAAAATCAACTGTGGGAGCAATTATCAGAAAATGGAAGACGTACAAGACCACTGATAATCTCCCTCGATCTGGGGCTCCACGCAAGATATCATCCCGTGAGGTCAAAATGAGCATTAGAACGGTGAGCAAGAATCCCAGAACCACACGGGGGGACCTGGTGAATGACCTGCAGAGAGCTGGGACCACAGTAACAAAGGTCACCATCAGTAACACACTACAACGGCAGGGAATCAAATCCTGCAGTGCCAGACGTGTTCCGCTGCTGAAGCCAGTGCATGTCCAGGCCCGTCTGAAGTTGCCAGAGAGCACATGGATGATACAGCAGAGGATTGGGAGAATGCCATGTGGTCAGATGAAACCAAAGTAGAACTTTTTGGTATAAACTCAACTCGTTGTGTTTGGAGGAAGAAGAATATTGAGTTGCATCCCAAGAACACCATACCTACTGTGAAGCATGGGGGTGGGAACATCATGCTTTGGGGCTGTTTTTCTGCTAAGGGGACAGGACGACTGATCCGTGTTAAGGACAGAATGAATGGGGCCATGTATCGTGAGATTCTGAGCCCAAACCTCCTTCCATCAGTGAGAGCTTTGAAGATGAAACGTGGCTGGGTCTTCCAACATGACAGTGATCCCAAACACACCGCCCGGGCAACAAAGGAGTAGCTCCGTAAGAAGCATTTGAAAGTCCTGGAGTGGCCTAGCCAGTCTCCAGACCTCAACCCCATAGAAAATCTGTGGAGGGAGTTGAAAGTCCTTGTTGCTCGGCGACAGCCCCAAAACATCACTGCTCTCGAGAAGATCTGCATGGAGGAATGGGCCAAAATACCAGCTACTGTGTGTGCAAACCTGGTAAAGACCTATAGTAATCGTTTGACCTCTGTTATTGCCAACAAAGGTTATGTTACAAAGTATTGAGTTGAATTTTTTTTATTGACCAAATACTTATATTCCACCCTGATTTACAAATAAATTCTTTAAAAATCCTGCCATGTTAATTCATGGATTTTTTTTTTCACATTCTGTCTCTCACAGTTGAAGTGTACCTACGATGAAAATTACTGACCTCTGTCATCATTTTAAGTGGGAGAACTTGCACAATCGGTGGCTGACTAAATACTTTTTTGCCCCACTGTACAAGTATATATGATATAAGTATCAGGCATTAGAGCTGCTATTTCTGGTAACTCTGTTGACCCTGTTCCAGTTCCTCCATCACCACCCACCCTGAGCTCCCTCAATACTGTTTCATACTCTGAGCTCAGTAAGTTTGTTGCGAGGCAGAAGCCATCTGGCTTTCCACTTGACGTTCTGCTGCCTCGCCTCTGGAAGGCTGCCTTTCCGTGCCTTGGCCCTTCACTTGGTCAGATTATCAATGGGAGCCTCAGCACAGGTGTGGTCCCAGCTGCTTTGAAAGCAGCAGTTATTCGGCCGACCCTGAAGAAACCTGGTGCTGATGTCACTGTGATCACAAATTACAGGCCTATCTCTACCCTGCCTTTTACATCAAAACTGCTTGAGAAAGTTGTTTATCAGCAGCTGGTCTCACATTTAGCTGACTCTGATCTGTTTGAGGTTTTCCAATCAGGGTTCAGGTCTGGCCATAGCACAGAGTCAGCTCTACTGAGGGTCCTAAATGACATCTACTGTATCAATCACTAGCTCATGGTACATCTGTGGTACTTCTGTTGTTGGATCTGACGGCAGCCTTTGACACAATCGACCACGCAATTCTACTTGATCGCTTGGAACGATGGGTTGGGATCAAAGGGTCTGCTCTGGATGGGTTTAGATCATATCTCCACAACAGGACATTCTGCGTTAAACTGGGTGATGTTTTTTCTTCTTGGGAGGGGCTCCGCTGGGGGGTCCCGCAGGGATCGATCCTTGGTCCTCTTTTGTTTGCCATTTATCTGCTACCTCTGGGGTCAATCTTTCGTAAACATGGCCTATCATTCCATCTCTATGCTGACGATTGACAGATTTACTCTCCATTGTGTCAGGAGAAAGGTCACTCTATCCAGTCCTTTGTGTCCTGTGTTAATGAGGTGAAGTCTTGGCTAATGGCCTACTATCTGCATCTGAATGAGGGAAAGACAGAGCTCATTGTTTTTCACCCCAACAGCAGGAATGTGGGTCGTAATGTTGATCTTGGCCCTCTTTCTCCATATTCAAAACCAGTTGTTACCAGTTTGGGAGTGAAAATTGATGCTGGACTTAAATTTGAGGCTCACATCAACTCAGTGATCCGGTCCAGTTTCTTTCACTTGAAACGCCTTGCAAATATCAAGCCTATGCTGTCGAGAGCCCACCTGGAGCGGGTACTGCATGCCTTTGTTATTTCTAGGCTGGATTACTGCAACTCTCTCTATGCAGGGTTGTGTCAGTCATCACTGCATCGCCTACAGGTTGTGCAGAACAGCGCAGCAAGGTTCCTGACTGAGACCAGGAAACGGGACCACATCAGTCCGGTTCTGGCCTCCCTGCACTGGCTTCCGGTTTGCTATCGTGCACAATTCAAAATCCTTGTCCAGGGTATCCGCGGGTCCTTAAAAAGTCTTAAATTTCCTTTTCCAAATTTAAGGCCTTGAAAATCCTTAAAAATGACAAATAATCCTTAAATTCAGTTTCCAAAGGTCTTAAATTACCAAAGACTCAATGAACTAGATTATTTTATTTCTATGACATTTTTGTGAATTTCTAGTTAGTCTTCAGCATTTTTTGTGTATGATGTTGGCGTAAGCGGAACCGTACACATTCAGTTGGTTGTGAAAGGGGACTATTTTTAGATGAGCACATTAGCTGGTTAAGCTAGTGGGAGCTTGCGCCATGGAGAAGTGCAAGTTTAATGGTAAATGGATGGTTAATCCCACGTTCGCGACGTGGTTAGCACCGGTTCCAGGCAATAGCTGGAAATTATAGCTTAAATTTAATTTAAAAAATAGCTTAAATTCGGATCTGGATCGAAAGGAGTCAGTTGAGGTGGTTTGGGCATCTGGTCAGGATGCCTCCTGGACACCTCCCTGGGGAGGTGTTTCAGGCATGTCCTGCTGGCAGGAGGCCCCCAGGTCGACCCAGGACACGTTGGAGAGGTTATTTCACCAATCTGGTCCGGGAACGCCTTGGGGTCCTGCCGGAGGAACTGGTGAAGGTGGCCGGGGAGAGCACGGTCTGGTGCTCCCTAGTTGGTATGCTGCCCCCGTGACCCTGACCCAGATAAGCGGAGGAAGACTACAACGAGCTTAAATTTGGTCAAAGTGGCCTTAAAAAGGTCTTAAAAAGTCTTAAATTTGGCTCCCTTAAACCTGCAGATACCCTGTTGTCTTTGTTTACAATTTCTTCCAGGGTGGTGCTCCCCCCTATCTAGCCACACTCCTGACCAAACATTCCCCATCACGCGCTTTGCGCTCCTCTGAACAAGGCCTGCTCGCTGTCCCTCGTTCTAGGTGTCGTACTCGCGGGGACCGGGCTTTCTCAGTCCTAGCACCGTCTCTCTGGAACCAGTTGCCACCCTCAGTTAGGTTGTCCGCATCTCTGCCAGCCTTTAAGAGTTGCCTAAAAACACACCTTCTCCGCTTGGCGTTTCCTGAACATGTTTGATTCGGCCCTCTTTTACGTTGAATTTCTCTCACAGTTTTCATTGGTTCACTTTATCCCTTGTTTTACCCATCTGTCCTGTACTACAATGTTTCACCTTTTTTTGTAATTTGTATTTTGTAATTTGAATTGCTTTTATTTCTGAATTGCTTTTATTTTTGATTTATTCACTATATTTGTACTTCTACACTATCATTTCCCTTTCACACACACGAATGACAGTGATTTATAGCTCGGTCACGTCCTTGTTACCCACAAGGAAAACCAGCATGTTAACCATATACGGTTTGAGAGAGGATCTGAGAGGGGGGGCAACATTTCCAGCAACACTGAAAACCCTCTCGGATGGTGCGCTCGTTGCACTAACGCACACGTACTTGTGTGCGACTCTGGCGAGCAAAGGGAATCTCTCCCGGTTGTTGCTCCACCATGTCAGGGGGGTTTCTTTAGGGTGGATGCATTCCTCCTGCAGGTAGCGAGTGAGCTCCAGCTCGGCTCAAACTCTCTTCGGGACGGTTGCAGAAGCAGTGCTTGTCCGGGACTTCAGCAGGTCTCCGAGCGTTTATTATTATTTTTTTGCCGCTGGTGGCAGCTCTGTCTCGGCCAAGGACTCTGGCTGCGCAGCAGCTGACGTACTGAAAACCAAAGTGCTCCCAAAGGAGCGAAGTAACGTTTCGTTTTGATACCAGTGCAGCCATCCTTCTCAACATGCATCATTGAGTTGAACCAAGTTCAGTAATCGCGGTGGCCCATGATGCAGCGCGGTGGGTTTCTTCATATTGCGATATTTCATTTTTGCGGTTACCGCGACAGCCCTACAATAACAACAACTTGACATTAGTCATAGAGAGTAGGGAACAAGGAGTGGACAGTAGAGAGGTGGGGACGGGTGCAGGGACGGTGCTAGTTAAGAAGATGCTCTCTGAAGAGCAGGGTCTTTAGGAGTTTCTTGAAAAATGAAAAGGAAGCCGCAGTTCTGGTAGTGTCTTCATTGGAACATTTTTAATTGCCACATTACTCAACATTTTTCTTTTTACCTGTCCAGAACTTCCACAGCATCATATTTGGGGAAAAGAATATGTTCTGACTGACCAGCAGCTCTCTGACCAAGAGTCAACCTCCAGTTTGGACAAGGAGGAACCAGAACATCCACTGATCACAGAGGACCAGCCAGAACTCTTTATCCATCAGCATGAAGGGCAGTTCTTTTTGAAGCAAAAACATGTAACCTTCATAGAGACTTCTCCTTCTAACGAAACAGACTGCCATGATCCAGAACCCAACAGGAACCAACCCTTGAGCCAGAGTTCTACAGAAGCAGAGAACCAAGATCAGGGTAGATGCAGGAAAGAAAATTCAGAATCAAACAGCAATGAAGAACTGACACGTAATAAAAGACGTCTGCGAAGTGAAGATCACAGAGACAATGTAGATGTTCAGACACTAAAAAAGCACAAGAGGGCTCACATAGGTGAGAGGCCATTTTATTGTAAGCTCTGTGGAAAATCTTTCAGTCACAAGTCTTTTTTATGTCGTCACATGAGAACTCACACAGGTGAGAAGCCATATCCATGTAAAACTTGTGGTAAATGTTTTAATGTCAGTGGTAACTTGACTAAACACATGAGAACTCACACAGGTGAGAAACGATTTCCATGTAACACTTGTGGTAAATGTTTTAGTGACAGTAGTGGCTTGATTTATCACATGAGAACTCACACAGGTGAGAAGCCATATCCATGTAAAACTTGTGGTAAATGTTTTACTATCAGTGGTAACTTGACTAAACACATGAGAACTCACACAGGTGAGAAACGATATCCATGTAACACTTGTGGTAAATGTTTTAGTGCCAGTAGTGGCTTGATTTATCACATGAGAACTCACACAGGTGATAAGCCATATCCATGTAAAACTTGTGGTAAATGTTTTAGTGCCAGTGGTAACTTGACTAAACACATGAGAACTCACACAGGTGAGAAACGATATCCATGTAACACTTGTGGTAAATGTTTTACTGCCAGTAGTGGTTTGACTAAACACATGAGAACTCACACAGGTGAGAAGCCATATCCATGTAACACTTGTGGTAAATGTTTTACTATCAGTGGTAACTTGACTAAACACATGAGAACTCACACAGGTGAGAAGCCATATCCATGTAAAACTTGTGGTAAATGTTTTACTGTCAGTAGTGGCTTGTTTTATCACATGAGAACTCAACACAAGTGAAAAGTATTTTCTAAGTTTGGTCTGTAAGAGATTCAGCCAGATATTTTCCTAAACTTCTCGTGAAAATTCACACTTGAGTTTGTATACATTAAAATGTATGTTTTTTTTCTTCTTAAAGTTGAGAAGAATTGAGATTTTGACTACATTTAGTCACATATACCTTAGGCATAAACTAGCCCAGTGTGACACATGTACAGAAATATCTTTAGGATGAGTGTTGATGGAAAAAGTATAAAAAAAGGCAAAATTGCTTTTTATGTCTAATTGTGGACTCTGTTTATATTTAAGCCCTAAGTTTAAGGTGTGGTTGACTGACTAAAAAAAAAATAAAAATTTTTTTTTTTGTAATTTTAATTGATCACTTTTCATGCAGGCTGAACATGAAAACAGTCTCCTACACCTTTCTCCTGCATTAGCTTCTGATAGAAAATAGATGAAACTCATGTATTTGAAAAGCCTCACAGATCTATGTCACACTGTGAATCAGCATTCATGGACTCGATGATCTTGATTCACGACAGGGAAGACTGTTGTTATTTTGACATCCGGTAATCAGCAGTGGACGTCTCGGCTAGTTTAAGCTAACTGTCAGCATTAGCAACTACACCTCACAGCAGAAGGTCCTCCAAGCTCGTGTATTTTGAGAGATAAAATATCCATGTTGCAAGTCAGTGGTAGAGTTGCATTGCTGTTATCCAATCCGGGGCGAGATGTCCACATATCAGAAATAAGACTCCAAAATCCGCCGTTTAAAGTTCAGCTGATATGTGGAAAACTTGTGCAACAGTATATTTGTTCCCCCTGAGAACCATTTACGAGGTATTCAATCATACCAGAGACCACCGCACTGAAAAAAATGTGTCACCCACTCAATGAACAAACGCTAATTCTAAAGCTCTGTTAAAGGCACACTGACATTTTTTTCTTTTTTTTTAAATAAAATTCTATGGTCTATTAACAAATTAATCTTTTTTAATTGATATTTGTAATTGTTTATTCTAATTTAGCTGGAAATTTTCCATTTTAATATACATAAAATGGTTGGCCAATATTTTAATTGTTTAGCATTTTTCATTAGTCTTTATTTTCAAGGTTTGTTTTTGTTCTGTTTAGTTTTAGTTTCATTTACTTTTCAGTTTCAGTTTAGTTTTCATTAGTTTTAATCAATTTTTTATAGGTTTTTGTAATATTAAGTTACATATCAGTGACAAGACCGGTAGTCTGGTACTGATAATAGAAATTTCTGTGTGTAACCAAACTGTTTTCAAAACCATATTCTTTTTGAACAGGTGAGCTATCATACGTTCCAGGCAGAATAACAAAAAATGAACTGAACAGGATACAAACCAGCTGCAGAATGCATTTTCAAAACAGCAAGTGTATGTAGGTCAACAGAACTTGCAATCTCTGAAGTAATTTAGATTAATTTAAATATGAATATTAGGAGACAATAAGTTAAATGCTGGTTCTATAGTTCTGACAAGACAATGGAACTGACTGACATCACTAAAACCACAATAGTGCAGGACACTCCTGCACTATGAGATGGACACGTTAACAGCTTGTGTGATTCTCAGACTAGCTGTTAACTTGTTCATATTTTCCTACAAACTGAGGTCATCCAAATAGCATGACATGAATTGTTCTAAATGTTTGAACAGAAATCCAGTTCAAAAGATCTCAACTGTTCGTGTGTTTCATGCTGTGCTGATACATGTGTGAATAGAGCCAACCTGACCTGCCCCTGAAACGGACTGTCAATACTGCATAACAGTCAAGCCACCATGGGTACAATGTTTTGGATACTTTTTGCACATATTCTGATAGTTAATCACAGTTGTTGGAAGCTGGTTTGATGTGTTTTTGTAGATAGATTTCCCTTAATAAATAATTGTTTTTTTAAGAGCTTTTTGTTGATTTTAAGGAAAACCCTTTGTTCCAGAGATGTGGTTGCTCTTTTTCTCTGTCCAGATGACAGCACTCCACACACAGAAAAAATGCATTCCACAAATGCTTGAGAAGCAGAATCATTATCTACAGGGGAAGGTTTTGAATAGAAAGCCTGTGTTGACTTTCACAAATCCAGCGGTGTCTCATTAGACACGCCCTGTTTGACCTCAGTGAGATAGTTCTCAATATCAGTTCAAGCAACAGGTGGTTCAACAAAAAGAGACAAAGTATTACTACAATGTATATTTTAACATGCAACAAAAGACAAAATAAAAGGAAACTTGTGATTATATTTGGTATTTGAGAGTTGATCTAAACATGAATGCAGTATGATTTCAATGATCACATAATGAGTAGAAGGAGTCACCGCTCATCTGGGAAAGGTGCTTCAGGAATTCCTGATGAAGGTCTCTGGTGTAACAGCAATATTAAACTCGTTCCTACACCCTTGTTACATCCTCTCTAGTCTCTCTTCCCATCTAACACTTTATAAATAAACTGAACTGAACTAAGAACATCAGGAGGGATGAAATCATTTGTTCCTCCAGAGAACACATTGTTGAATTCCAGTAACCGATGGATCAGTTTTCTCTTTGTCCCTAAAAACCTGCAGCTGTGTGATTCCAGCTAAATCTGCTCTGTTGATCGTTTCCCTCAGATCTTCAACAGTTTCTCTTTCCACTGTTATGAGTCTCATTCTGTCACCTTTTGACCTGAACCTGTGATCCACACCTTCATCTCTTCCTTGTTGTTGCTGGTCCAACTCCAGTCCAGTAGGTGGCGCTAACGCGCCTTCACGCTGCCATATAACCGGAAGCTGTTATCAGAGCTAGCTTGCTGTTAGCTACCAGCGCTAGCTTGCTGTGCTGGTGTGTGAGGGGTGTCGCTACCCGATCCGTACCGGAAACCCGATCGGTACCACGCATGCGCGAAAGGCGTCTACTTCCGCTCGAAGCATTTTACGGTAGTTACGGGTCAGAGTATCTGTTAAGATGTTAAAAAATAATAAGTATCTATTAAAATGTTTGCAATAGTGAAACCTTTCAATATAATGTAGATAAAAATGAAAAAAAAAAAGAAAACGTCGGACCATACAGATCGGGTCTACCTGATCCGTACCGCGCATGTGCAGATGTTCTATTCTTCTTGTGATCCGTTCAATGGCAGTTTACTCCGCAGTGTACGAGGATACTGCCACTTGCTGACCGAGCGAATTAGCCCGATTGTAAACTAAATTTGCGTTGTTACAAATCGTGTTTTAAATGCGTGTTAAATTTGATTTAGTGTGTTTATGCTTGTATGTGTTGTGAATTATTATAAGAGCATGGGGGGGGGGTTTATTAATGCTAGTAACAAATGGAAATGACTATTATGTTAGTTCATGGAAATGTTGAATTTGAATGTTCGCCAAGGACATATTATTTAATTTGATTATTTAGTGTAATGAGACAGTATTTCTGATTTGAAATGAGTTAAGAGGCTCAGTATTGTTTAATCTTTAAAACTTCATTACCCATGAGACTTAGCGTGTTCCCAGAAGGCTTAACGAAAAACCAGGAAGTAGAAAAAAAACTGGCGCTAAGAGCAGACATGTGATTTTCCTGTAAGGTGTTCTAATTCACTAAAGTTCGAGTTCAGCAAGACAAAGTCTCGTCTCATTCTTTATTTTGAAGAAGCTCGGTTGAGCTACAATATTTTTGGTGCCGAAACACGGGATAAAGATGACTGAAGGTGAAGATAGAGACCTCGAAGGGAGACTGGATACAGGAGGACGCATTGAAAAGGTGAAACGTAAACGACGGACAATTCGGAGTTCCACAACGAGACTATTAAACCAGATCGATGCGGAAATGTTAAAGGATGATCCGGATTTAAGCCGTATGCGGGACATGCTGGCAGTTTTAACAGCAAAAGAGGACAGCCTACAAGAGCTGGATCGTGAGTTGGAGGAATCCACTTCACTGGAGGATATGGAGGCAGAAGTTGAACTCTCGGAGGAGTATAAGGATCGCATTATCGGAACGAAAACCCGAGTACACCGCATTCTGAGGGCACGGGAACCCGTGAGTAATGACAATCGGCCGCCGTTTCGTGTGAGTGACGTCAGTGCAAATTCCGCTGTGTCCCAGCAGAGCAACCCTTCAGTTAAACTGCCTAAGCTAGTGATAGAGAAGTTTAATGGTGATGTAAGCCTATGGCAAGAGTTTTGGAGCCAATATGAGACGGCTATTCATAGTAACCTCACCCTTTGTAAAAGAGAGAAATTCACATATCTGAAAACGTATCTCACCAGCTCGGCAGCGAAGGCAGTAGCAGGCCTCACTTTAACAGATGCTAATTATGACGCAGCCATTGACATACTCCAAACCAGATTTGGAAGGAAAGACCTCATAGTAAATGCCCACATGTCTAAGCTTTTGAACCTCACCCCGGTAAGAAGATCCTCTGATGTGACGGCATTACGACATCTTTATGATGAATGTGAAATTCAGATAAGGAGCCTAGAATCAATGGGGGTGGGATCCGACGGTTATGGAAGCATGTTATGCCCCATACTTCTCCAGATGATACCAGAGGATATGGCTCTAGAATACAGCCGCCAAAAGGGAGGAGAGGATGAATGGAAGGTGCCTGATGTGCTTAAGTTCCTCCAAAAAGAGGTTCAAAGCAGAGAAAGAGCCTTACAAATGACAAAATCATATAATCAAAGAGAGAGCCAGCCGTCTCAGCGAACTAGCCACAAACCAAGTTTTGGGAATGACATGAAACTAAAAAAAACAAATGTTACATCTGCAGCTGCACTGCATACAGCTAGCCTGAAGACACACAACTGTCTATTTTGTGATAGTGGCGACCACAAATCTGAAAAATGTCCAGATACAGATATTGCTGCACGCAAGGAGAAGCTGAAGAAGATGGGCAGGTGTTTTTTATGTTTGGGTCCAAAACATATAGCCAGATTCTGCCGAGTAAAGGGAATATCATGTGCATCCTGCAGCGGAAGGCATCATATTGCTGTTTGTGAAGGAAATAATGCCTCAATACCAGCAACACCTGAAAATACAGACACTGTCATTTCATCAGTCATTCCCCAAGTGGATGAAAGGAAACCTAACAGTGAGAACACCGTGTTGCTACAAACTGCCAAAGCATGGGTGTCTGGTCCTGCAGGTCGAAAATTAGTGCGCTGTTTGCTGGATGGAGGAAGCCAGGGAAGCTTTGTGCATGAGAATGTGGTGAAGGTCCTAAAATTGCCTGTAGTTGGTCAAGGCACGTTTAATCTCCACACCTTCGGCTCCACAGTTCCAGTGACTGCGAAACGCAATATAGTGAAACTCTGTCTGGAGAACATTTGGAATAAAGAACAAAGCATTGAAATAGAAGCAGTAGTAACTCCACAAATATGTACAGCTGTAATGCAAGTTCCTGGTGATCAGATACAGAAGGAAATGAAGAGAAGATGTCTGCCGCTTGCAGATTCACCTGGAGATGACAAACCTGAACTTTCTGTGCTGATTGGCTCAGACTATTACTGGCAAATAGTCACCGGCCGAGTAGAAAGACTAACAGAGAGTCTGGTCGCATTAGAGAGTACCTTTGGATGGACGGTACAAGGTCCTGTGTCACTCTCCAGAATGACGGAAACAAGCTGCATGCACATACAGCTCACCGAAACTGCTCCACTTGACAAACAGTTGCATGCGTTTTGGGAACTTGAGTCACTTGGCATCACTGATGGAAAGACTGAATGCCTGGAGGATGAAGAAGCTCTACAGCGTTTTGATCAAACAACCATCTACAAAGATGGGCGTTATGAAGTGGAGTTGCCATGGCGACAAGAACATCCTCCTCTTCAGAACAATTATCGCCTAGCAAAGAAAAGATTGGAGGGATTGAAAAGAAAATTCAAAGGAGATGTAACTCTCTACAGCAGATATAATGATGTGATACAGGACTACTTAAAGGAAGGAATGGCTGAAGAGGTCACACAAGACGATGTAGCATCACCAGACAGCCACATGTATTATTTACCTCATCATGCCGTATTGAGAGAGGATAAAGCAACAACAAAATTGCGTGTTGTGTTCGATGCTTCATCTCATGAACAAGAAAGTCCCTCACTTAACGACTGTCTTCTGACGGGACCCAATCTAAACCCAGACTTACTAAGTGTGCTGATAAGATTCAGACTGCACAAGGTTGCATTTATGGCAGATATCAAGAAGGCCTTCCTACAAGTATCACTCAAAGAAACAGACAGGGATGCAGTGAGATTTCTGTGGTTCAACAGCCCCCCGACTGAAGAAAGGGATGAAAAACCACGTGTGTTAAGAATGACACGAGTCATATTTGGCGCCTCCCCAAGTCCGTTCTTGCTGGCAGCTACTATAAGGAAACATCTTAAACAGTTTGAGCCAGATTACCCGGAGGTGGTGGAAATCATTAGAGCCTCGCTCTACGTGGATGATTTCATTGCAAGTGTACAAGATGTCTCAGAGGCACATGCATTGGCACTGACGGTGAAGAATATTATGACAGCTGCTGGAATGGAGCTTTGTAAATGGATGACAAACTCTCCAGAGCTAAAGGAAAAATGGCAAGAGAGTCAAATGCACTGTGCTGTTGAGCATGAAGTTCACGGATCAGTATTGAAGGTTTTAGGTTTAATATGGAGACCAGCCACAGATGACTTTGTGTTTGACCCCAAAGGCTTGCTCCTGATCCTAAAGCAAAGGGAGAACACTAAAAGGAGCGTCCTACAGTCAGCCGCTCGATTATATGATCCGCTAGGATTTTTGACCCCCTTTACCGTCAGAGTAAAGTGTCTGTTCCAGGAAATGTGGGAGAGAGGGCTGAGTTGGGATGAGGAACTGCCACCAGATCTTGCGCAGAAATGGCAGCAGTGGTGCTCGGAGCTTCCTCAGCTACATCAGCTGTCCATCTCAAGGTGGTATAACACAAACGTTCCGCCCAAGAACAGTCACACTTTAAGACTGCATGTGTTTTGTGACTCGAGCGAGAGGGCTTACAGCGCAGTTGCATATTTGCAAGGAAAAACTGATGAGGGAGAAGTGACAACGAGCCTGGTTGCATCAAAGTCCAGAGTGGCTCCACTGAAAAAAATGACATTACCACGCCTAGAGCTGATGGGCGCAGTGATCGGAGCTAGACTAGGAAACACTCTAATGAAATCACTTCACCTGGACCAGTTCCAGCTCAGGATGTGGACAGACTCAATGATAGCACTGCACTGGATACGCAGCTCTGCTCAAAAATGGAAACCCTTTGTGGCAAACAGGGTCATGGAAATTCAATCTCTGACTGATCCGAGGTCCTGGTTTCACTGCCAAGGAAAGATGAACCCAGCCGATCTTCCCACCAGAGGACTTAGCATAAAGGAGCTAAGGCAGAGCACCTTATGGTGGGATGGACCTCAGTTTCTGATGTTC